TTTAAATGGTTAAGAATTCTAAAAGAACAAGAAAATGAAACTTTACCAAGGAGGAACATGGTAATCATAAGAGCAAGCATAATTGGAACAGAACAGCGAGATCGCAACTGTGGGGAACTATTGAATTGTCCCTGGAAACAACCGATGTGACCAGAAAGCTGCAACGCATGAAAATCTGATTAAGCTTTCCTTGAATGCAACCCAATGAAATCCTATCTACCGAGACAAACTTTTTTAATTGGTGACTGTAGGCAAAGTATAGCATGTATAGAACAAAAATTCCTGCTTTCTTTGGCATGTTTCTCTTTTTTTTTAAAGCTAGTTAGTGTAACCTGATTGAACATGTGTACCGCTCGCATTGCCTGAGGATATTCTTCAAATCTGTGTTTCCAGAAGCCAGGTTTGAACCCTTTTCCTTTGGAGTTTCCATCAATAGTATGCATGAGTTTATTTCTCTGTTCATCTTCATCAGCAATAACGATTTTTAACTCCCAAAATTTTGGGGAACTACATGTCTTCCTTATATTAGTTGTTCTGGCTGCTTGAGAAACTATATCCTCACTATTTCCAGAAACTTCATCTCCTTTTATTTCTCTAACGTAATTTACATCCTTGTTGATGGCAATGACATCCTTTATAGCTTTTCGGTCACTAAAGATATTTCCATTGCAGGCAGCATTTACATCATGGATTTTGTCTTTCTTGTTGATCTCTTTTTCGTGAAGTGTATTTTTCGCGGAAGGAGCCAATTCCATGCATTCATCCTTAGGGGTCCGCATGTTCTGAGAGGTTCCAGATAAAAATGCAGCAAAATCATCACGCTCTTCTTCATCCAGATTAACCCAGCGGAAGGGCTGTCTTCCTTCCTCGATAAAAGATTCTCTTAATGCTGCTTCAACATAGGAAATTTGGTTTTGAATGGCCGAAATAAATTGTCTATGCCTAGTGACTGCATTCTCATCATCAAGATGCCTGTAGCTTAGCTTGACAGCCTTCTCAAACTCTTCCAACTATTACAGCATGTACAAAACAGAAGATTACAAATAAGAAAAAGTCGAAAATGAACATTCAGCTTTGAAGGTAGGAACAATGGAAAATGACCAACTAATTAGAGAATCTACAATAGGAAACTTTTTGAAAGAAGTTTGAGCGCTGGAAATAGAAGAGGAGGTTCACAGTAAGATGAAAAAGAAAAGTAACGTACCTGCCATTTTGCAGTACCCAAAGACGTTTGCAGCTCCCGACATAGTTCATCTACGTACTTGGGAATTGATCGTTCTCTCTTCCCTCTTAGCCATGTCCTGTATGTGGATTCCATTCTGAAAACCAAGAAATTAAGAGAAAAGGGTATACTTTTTTGTAAAACAGAACTGAATCACGTAATTAATCGAAAACAAAATTCTAAAAACAATCCAGCCGGAGAGATACCTATCAGCTGATTCCTGGACCTCCTCGGCCGCAGAGAAGAAAGCATCCTTTTGCCAGAGATCGAAAGTGTTAGGCAACAACATGTTGAAGAACAGTACCCAAAACCCAAAACAAATCAATTAGTTCATCCGAATAACAAGCAAATCCAACCCAACCCAACGTCAATTAATTAACAATAAAGTTTACTCCGTGAAGAATAATTGATGTTAGGGGAGATGGATTGCTCGTGGTCGTGGGTTCTTTTCTCTCTCTCTCCTAAGCCGGAAAGAAGAGAGAGAGAAAGAAACCTCTTCCTACCCCTTTCTATCCTCTAACTGCTTTTGGGGCTGCGTCAGTGATTGTTTTATCTTTACCGGTGAAGAGTTTCAATCAGCTGTTGAAATTGAAATTCTCGCGATTCCTCTTATACGAGTCATATTTCTATTGAGGATAGTTATGTCTTTGTTAGTAGCTTACGTTGGACTATTTTGTCTTTTTACTGGTGTTGTCCCATGCTGGTTTTATATTCTCTTGCTGTAGGTCATTTGCGAATTATCAAAAAGTGATGAGGTCGCTCTATTTCTTTTCTCTCAAATGCTCTCATCTTCCTCTTCTAATCTTGTGAGTCCTTTCTCTCTTTCTGCCTTGTTTCGATTATGTGCCACATCAATGGCATTAGACGCAGGCCGCTCCATCGATTGACAGTGATTCTTCTTTTGCCACATTCAACGATAGTTAGGTTCACGGTATAAACGACTTACAATTTTAAGTGACGGAATTGCACAATTGAATTTATGGAATCTCTGTTTGAATGGATGATTATCTCAAGTACAACTCATGTCGAGATAAGGACTTGATGAAGGAGCTTGCACAACTAAAACAAATGGGATCGCTAGCTGAGTTTAAAGTTCGGTTCAACAAACTCATAGACAAAGCAATATTACATGTTAATCTGCAACTAAACTGTGATCTAAGGGCTCTAAAGCTTGAGGTAGCTAGGAGAATTAAGCCGTTAAGACCATGAAATCTATGGGAAGTTAAAAAAATTACTCACTGTGTTGATCGAGGCCTCCAACTCTCACCAAACAACTATTATATTATTCATTCACCACCAACAACTTTATCTTTATCGATCAATAACTTATTTTTCATGTTTAGAATTTTTTAGAATTTTTTTTTTCAAACAAAAAGTAATACTTATATTTTTTAAAAAAAATTAATCTCAAATTTCACATAACACCTTAAATTATTTTTTAAGCCTAATGACAATTTGAATATAAGATATTGATAATTTGATATTTCAAGTTGTCAAAATCTTTATTGTATCTAAATAATTGATTTCGCTCCATTTCTTTTTTCTCTCTACTCTCTCCTCTTTCTATCTGAATTTTTAAATCAAATTTTGAATGGTTAGAATTTAATATTGTATAAAATAATTTTTTAATTAAACTGTAATTCAGATCAATCTTTATAGTTCAAATTTATTTATTTATTTTATAATTTCACATTTTAATAATTTTTTGTGAAATATTGAATTCAAACTATTTGAAGTTTGATTCAAGGTTGAGATGGGAAACGAAGATGAAGTTGTTTCCCCCTGTGATTGTGGAGGTTCTAGCTATTATTTAGGGCCTCCAACTATGCTGGTTCTACAAGTTTAGGGATGTGAATATCTACAATGACTATATTAAAGCTAGCCAATTCATTCAAAAAGGTGGTGAAGATGATCACTGCTTCAAAGATATCATTGATGAGGTAGGTTGTTATATCGTAGAGAGTGAAGACAAACACTCCATTTTAACAGAAATTGTAACTTTTATATTAATAGATTAGTAAAGCTTTCTCATAATTTGAATGTTAATTTTTATACCTTTGATCAACCTCCATCTTTCCCACAGGAGGTGGTAGTTGATAAAAGTGCAACCTTGAATGATGATTGTATTTTGCAATCACTAAAGAATAACGTTTGCTTTATTCTTTCCCACAGGAGGTGGTAGTTGATAAAAGTGCAACCTTAAATGATGATTGTATCTTACAATCACTTAAGAATAACGTTTGCTTTATTCAAAAAGAAAAGAAAAGAAATGAAGAGGAAGTGAGGGGAAAAAATAAAGATTTTAAGATGTTACGTGGAATGTAAAAGTAATTCTTCCTATTTTTTTCTCAATAAAAATCTTAGTTGAAATTAAATAATGCAGTTTTTTTTATAAATGATATTTTTTTATGCGTCAGTTTTTATAATTATATTGATTTTTGATTAATTGGAATTGAATCAAATCAAACACCAGAAGTAACACCCACTAGGCTAATAGATTTTTTTTTTCAACTATAAAATTTGAACTTGAGATTTTGTTAAAAAGAAACAAGAAGCCACTTAACTAAGTGGTCCATGCCATACTCCATAGATTTTAGTTTTCATTAGATTTAGCCCCTCTAGGCTTATTTGTGTATTTTATAAAATTTAAAGAACGAATTATTATTGATGACCAATATCATTAATTATAATAAAAGTCATTTGATTTTTTTTTTGGGACAATCATTTGATTTGTCATAAACAGTGTTACTGATTAACTATTAAATTGTGAGATGTCGAGTTTAAGAGGAATGGATTGCGAAAATAAATAATGGGCTATCATTTCAAGTTTTATCTTTACCAAATTAGTGGGATGCATTGTTGGCCAAAAAAAAAAAAAACAATACTGAGATGTGGCGGGAGAATAGAAGGGGAACCAATTGTGGTTCGTTTTAATAGAATGCCTATAACCGCTTTATCATAATATTTTAAATTTGAATTTTTATAAACATAGAAAATGTTTTTGAAATAACTACATTCAAATGACTTAATAATATTTGAACATGACCCAATCAAATAAATATATATAAAAAAGTAACTAATGAGAATGGAAAAAGATAACAAAAAAGGAAGGGTAAAATGGCAAAAACATTCAAAAAATCATGACTAGAGGCATCCAATAGTTTAAAATAAAAAAAAAATGTATGAGTGTTCATAAAGTTATCTTTTCAATACATTCATGAACAAACTACTAAAAGTTACAGATGTTGATCGTTATGTTTTGGATCTGAAATTTAATAGTTTAGTCATATATGTATAAAAAAAGTAATTTCATGAACACTCATAAATTTTTTCTTATTTTAAATCTCTGAATATTCTTGATTAATGATTTTTTAAGTATTTTTAACGGTTTGTCCAAAAGAGAAACCACTTGCGTCGGAGCCACTTGTGTGACGACAATACAATATTGTACTTAACTAATTTATACATGTAATATTGAAATAAGTAAAGAATTATCAATATAAACTCTAAATTTTCGATGACCAGCACAATAGATGAATGGGATTAATCTTGTATCATTGTTTCCAACTTCCCATTAAGTTAATCAGCTTCCAATCCTCCACTGGCGGTGAAGTAGTTCAAATTTTTCCTCCCATATCCTTGTGTTCACGCATTAAAAAAACTCAGAGTTAATTTTTTTTTTTCATTTTAGATTCTATATTTATTAAGAAATTTTTTTTTAAGAAATAAAATTTCGGATAATGAAAATTACCGCAAGGGAGGAGCTCTCGTTGCTTGATTTCGTAGATCGTTTCCCAAGCTATCACGTGTCTACTCTTTTACGTCGTTGGATATGGTGTTTGTTTTTCCACCGCTCCCCATTTCATTTTGATGTTTCCATGGTTGGCGACATTGGTTTGCCTTGGATCTTACTGGCTTCCGTCCTTAGGTAACCGAATTTCTCTACCATCAACTCCAATCATCTCTAATTTTGTCTTTCCCTTGGAGGAATTTGACGAATAGGTCTAATTGCTGGCTAGATTGGAGTGTGAATGGGTAATTTAAATGTTTTGATCCTTCAGAAGCCTGGGGGAAGTAGAAGGACTGAGGAAGAGGACCAGCTCCCATGGCTTCTTCACGGAGTAAGCCCAATTCGAACTTGAGGACTTGTAGTTTTGATTATCTGGAATCGGATTCTGCTTTCTTTCTCACTAGTCTCGTGGTCATCGGCGTGGTTGCCATTAGCGTCTCTTACTGTATTCGTTTGTCAGTTGTCTGATTTGTTTCCCTCGTCGTGTTCCTTCGATGAAATCAACCCGGCCTTGATCGACTCTGTCGTCTAAGTGTGTCCGCCGATTGATATATGCTTTCTCGTATAAAAATAAGTTTATTAGTGCTTTAATTATTGTCTTGCTACCGTTACCTTGATATTTTCTCCTCCTTGCAGTACTGGTTCGTCGTTAATAGAATCAGGTCTGTGGATTTCGTCTATTTTACTTCAATGAAATTGTTTGTGCGTGTGGTGTTCTGTCGGTGGAGGGTTTGTCACCCTTTTGGCTGCGTTCGTTCCTTCTCACGTGCTCTCCTCTGTGCTATTGTATATGGTGAGTGTTCGTATATGATGGTGTGTTTATTGAGTTCCTTATGCTCAAAAAGGCTCAGAGTAAGTGGTAGGTCTTTGTGTTTATTATTTCTTTTGATTAAATTCATATTTTATCGTCAAACTTCTATTTATAGGTTTAAAAACAATGGTGGGAACTTTCACATTAAATGATCGTCCTGATAAAAAGAAGAAACAGGAAAACTCCTAGCATAATAAATCACTAAAATAACCAATCATTTGAATACTTGTCTAAATACCTAATATTCACTATTTGATCAACGATCAAACTATGCCATTTAGATTACTGTCCAAATACCTAATATCAACTATTTGCTATGAGCTTCCCCAGGAATTTGCTAACAAGAACGAAAATTCCATTTTGGACATTCAGTTATGCTTTTGCATTCTTTATGCCTACTTAGAAGTGACAGTGAGATGTCATGTAAAGTCATATATTGGATCTCTAGTAAGCACTCTTAAGTTAGATTTGTGCAAATGTGACAGCCACCCTGTGCAAGAAACACTTGAGAGTGGTACAATATTAGCCATTGGGTGCTAGCTCAATTAGTAAGGGTGGAATGGGGGATGAGTGGGGCCCATTGTTTAAACTTTCTTGATAACAAGCATTATCTCACTAAATGAAATTTGCACAACACAATTGGACTTTACTAGAAATTAATTGTTCAAAAATATCGGTCACACTCTTGATGTCCCAAAAAATACATGTGATACTTATGTGCCTCAAGTTAATAGCAACCGACCTTGGTTTGAAGATTCAAGTGAATGTATATGATGTAATTTAACTAGTGTTGTTGAAATCAGACTGGACCAAATGGTCCTACTGCTGCTCGTGGAACAAAATAGTTTGTTCCAACCAATTGAAGCATGTCTCCAGCTCCAGCATTTTCCTTCGAGATCGTGAGCTTGTGTTGACATATCTTTGCCTCCAACTCCAGCTATAACACTCTAAAATTTTTTTCAAAACAATTTAACTCAACTATGGTAGAAATTTGTCTACCATGGTAAATAAAAGTCAACTTATCTTATATTATTTTTTTGAAACAATTCTGTAATTTAAAACACTACCATGATAGAAAATGATAAAACATAACATTTTAAAATATTTTACCTTTTAAAATAACTATCATGGTAGAAAAGATTAAACTAGATAAATAAGTGCTATTATGATGAGTTAAATTAAATTGTCATTTCTAAAATTTAGGATCCCAAGAAATTAAAAACAAAATAAATGTGAAAGGCTCAAAAGATTCCTTTTAGAATTGAGAATATGATGAACATAATAGAATAAAAAAAATAGAAATAGTTGTGCATTTTAAAATCTTACAACCACCTATCACCCTTTTCAAATAATACAAAATAATTTTATGCAACTAATACACATTTACAATCATAGTTGAGTTACAACCACCCAACACATTTTATTCAATAAATTCAATATAAAAACATTTTATAATTGCCTTAAACTTGCATAATACAATATCTCAAATAAATTTTTTACCTCTCACATGCCATTAGGCTAAAATTACATTTTTTTATTCTTATGCTCCTAACAAATGCAAACCAAAGACCAATGATTAAAGTAAATAACTTAATTAATTTTCAAAATAAATTAATTATTTGGCCTCATAATCACGCCATTTCAAACCATCCAAAATAAAATCATATATTAAAGTTACAGTCATCTAAAGTGTATCAAGAGTAAAAATAATTTGAAGGGTATGATTATATCATTATATTCATATAATTGTCAATAAAAAAAAACTCTAGTATTGACAATATAACACATTAAAAATCATAAATTAAATACCCAAAAGAAACAGTGGATCAATGTAACTAAGCCTCAGGAACTCCTCACACGCCGCTCATAGCTCTTTTCCTAAGAATTATTAATCACATAATGAGACTCAAAAGTTTCAGTAACCAATACCAATTTATGATAATGTATACAAATAGTTAAATATGTGCTTGCTAAGTAGAAAAATAACAATCATATAATTCTAACAAAATACAAGAAATATTACAATGCGTAACAAACAACTATCCTTATATTTCTCCATTAATCTTAAGTCATAACCCTCACTCAATGCTAAATTACTCGATTAAAGGTAGATTATTCCAAACCTTTACAAGCTACCTATTGAACTTTCAATAGGGGCGTACCACGTGACACAAAAATACAACAACAGCAGCAAATCTCCTAATACCTTCGATGATAATCAAACAAAATTCATATTAATATTGTACAATTATACAATATTATAATTTTCTCATTTTCAACAATATTATAACATGACATCCCACTTGACAAAAATACTTCAAAATGAATATTCACAATTTCACAATTTTTTCATAAACATAACAAAAGAATTTCTCAATAACAATTCATAATTTTCTCAATAATCAACCAATTAACATGAAGCAACACTAATCATAAATTAAAAGTATAGTTACCTCATGCCTTTTTTAATAAATTATTTCTCACAATTTCCCTCCTACCACAATCTACAAATATTATATTATTTATAAATATTAGTTTCAATTATTAAAACTAATAAAATAACTTTAATAATTGAATTAGAGGATATAACATAATTCTTAATCTCAATCTTAAAGCAAATCTAGAGTTAGTAATATCAAGTAAAATTTTTAATTCCTCTTTTAATCATCAATAAACATTAATAAATTAAAATTAATTTTTAAACTAATTTTATTATCAAAAATTTTCTTTTTATTTCATAAATTTAAAATAAAAATACCCAAAAATTAAAAATTAAGTCTCAAGCCTAGAATTATCATTCTATAGCCATAATAATCCATGTCTCATATCAAATAATCATCTAAACCTCAATAAATCAATATATATTTTCAAATTTAATAAAAATTTAATTTAGAATTTAATCCATAAGTCTCAAATTCAAAACTTATCAATAAATTTATATGCTAGAATATTTATTATATTACTAATAATCTCAACAATCACATTTATTCAACATAAATTCATATCTCTTTTAAACTCTAAATTTTTCACCATTATAAAATTAGAAATTAAAAAGAAAGGATGGCTAAAAAAATTTTAAAACACTTAAGTAATTTTAAAAAATTTAAAATTATATTTTAAATATCTTATTAAAAATTCTTACGTTTAAAACTCAGGTCCGTTCTCATCGGCGACTCCTGTGCTCAGTCGCTCTCTCTCGCTCTGTTTACGCAACAGACAAGGGAAAGGTAAGCAAAAATGAAAAGGGCTTTAGGTGTGTGTTTTAGAAACAATATGTGGGTCCCACGCCCCGTTTTTTTTTCCTCTCTCATTCATTTTCGTTTTTTTTTTGGGTACATACACCTACTCACACCCGCGGAAATAAGCCCCCACCCTTATATATTTTTTTATCAATTTCTATATATATATATATATATATATTATTTTTCAATCTCTCTCTATTATATTTCTTTTTTCTCCTTTCCTAATCATAATAATAATAATTTTTAAAAATCTTAACTTAGAATGATATTTTAAATTAGTGCAATAATTATCTTTCAAATAATTTACTTATTTTTAAATATGTTTCAAAATTTCTATTATCTCAAATAAATATTAAAATTTAAATTGGGATGTTATACCAGTAGTCCAGGCATTAGCCTTCGGAATCGAGATCCCAAGCACCATCGATAAATTAATATTTTATTTATATATTTAAATATATAAATATTTTTTTATTTAATTGTTATGTCACCTGTTCGACCGTCAATCTAATCGATTGAATCATAAAAACCATAATATGTTGCTCTTTCCAATTTAAAATCCGGTTTGGGTTTCAAAACACTAAATCTAACATAAGTCCATTTTTTTTTTTTGCAGAAGTCAAGGTTTTTAATCAAGATCTTCATGACATGAGGATACTTTGTCCATGAACATAATAGCATTGAATGATATAATTTGGTTATTCTGTTCTTTCAATCAATTAATTTTTGGGTATTTTGTCCGTATTTACTTGCTTTCTGTTATGCTGCAAAACAAACTTTTGGAATAGCTGTTAATGTTGGTTTTCAGGTCACATCTATTACTTTTTCGTTCTACAATTCTTAAGGAGGTTTCAGCCATTAATTTCATTGTGACAGCCTGTGCCTCTGTGGTGCAATAGTATATTTCAGTTGCGCGACAGTTCTTATCTTGAAATGTAGTTGTATATTTTAATTCTCGTTGACAGTGGTCTAATTTGGCGGCATTTATGCATGTGATATTTTAATGGAAATTACAACGCTTTATTCTAAGCTTCTCATAATTCAGATCAGATTTTGGATTTTTCAAATATTGATCACTGGTTATGTTGTTTGCACATGAATAAAAGTATTATATAAACCAAGAGGTGATGGCTATCTGCAACGTGGTGCACGATAAGGAAACTACTTTGTAGAGAAACAACATCCATGATGATCCTATTCAGAGGATCCTTACAGTTGCTGAAATCTGAGCTTGATTTTCCATATTTGAAGCTCAGTTTTTTATTTCGGGGGTTTTATGAAAGAGAATTTGACAATTTTCTTGGGTTAAAATATAAGTACCACCAATAACCGCAAGGATCCAATGAAATTTAATACAGTGGCTCATGAATTGCAATCAAGTCAAGGATGAACAGTGAAAAAAAGGAATATTTTCATCCCCAAATCTTCTCCCACCGGTTGGTGGAATAATTAAATTAGTAAAGGCATTATACAAGAGTCATCAAAATTTAAGTTAAAGAATTTAAAATAATCAAAATATTATCACATTTATAATCGAAATTAAAGGATCCACATCGGTTTGAATATTCTCACATTTAAAATTTAAGTTAAAGGATCCTAAATTGTCAAAACATTTCTACATTTGTAAGTTACATTTATTACACACTTTTCTTTATTATTATTAATCAAAAATTATGTTATATTTGCCTAAAATCACACATTTATTGCATTGATTGTGAAAAATCGCTTAAGTGTAGGATTTTGTACATTAAAAGTATTCTAGTCATAAAAATAGATTATTGAAAAAAATTTCAATATGTATTCTTAGTCACTAAGAACAATAGTCTAATTAATTTTTTTTAAATTTATTTTAGATTGGAAGTAATTAATTTCAAAAGTTAGCTATTTTTGAAAATTCAAAGTTTCATGTTAACTTATTTTTTTGCACTTGGGTTATGTTATTTTTGTGCATGTGTGGGCTTACAATATTAGGGCTGCATGTGACACCTCTCAACCTCTTTTGTGATGTCATAAATAGTTTTTATTATTTAACTTGCATTGTGCCACATATTTGGGAATGAATTTTAATTGAAAATACAATTATTATCCATATAATTTGAACTTTGATTTGTATGTCACATTTATTTGTATAGGATATACCCTTGAATTTGGCACATGAAGACCATTAGATTGGAATACAAGATGAGTTAAGAGACAAAACACTTGAGTTTTGAGATGAGAGTACAAATCTTGTATGGTCTTGCACACATTGTATCACATTTTGGTTCCACTCTCTCTCTTAATTTTTCATTTTCTTTAGCTTAATTTAATTTAATTTCCATACCAAATTCACTCAAATTTTCATCCATTTTACCCTAGTAAAGAATAAAATTATCCTAACTCATTTTTCACCCATTTACTACATACTTGAATTGGGCCCATTCACCCTAAACTTGAATCAACCTATTTTAATTTCATTTTCAACATTCATTCCCTTCCATTCACTCATTTTCACGCCACCCTCCTCCCTTCCATATTCTCTCCATTATTCTTCATATTCATCATCTCCACCTCACATTCTCTCCTCCATATCTCATGATCCAACTATTAAAACCCTAATCCAACTCCAACATTCTTCTTCTCTTACCTCAATCTTCAAACCCTAATGCTTTATTTATTGGTTTGGCTTCAAAATCTTCAAGGTGTTCATGAGTATGGTTCAACCATTGTGGAATGATTGAGCTTAAGTGGATTCCAAGATAACTAAAGGCTAAGTCTACAAGAAGTACTAGGAGGGAAGGATGTTAGAGGAGTCTTTAAGTGTCTCAAGGAAGGTAAAGGGTCACACCATTCTCCAATCAGACCTAGGTTGATGTAATCCTATTCTTAAAATTAGGAGCATTGTTATATCTTGTTCCTATTGATCAAAATTGATATTTGACTTGATAGTTTATTGTTTCTTCACTTGATTCTCCTTTGTGTAGTTGCTGAAAATTTTCTTCAATATATTATAATTCATATAAATATATGTTTTATGTGTGTTGAATGTGTCATACATTAGCTATGCATAAATGTATTTGGTTGGTACTTGATAAATTGTCTTGTATGCAAAATTATGCACCTGACATGCATTAGGCCAAGCTATGCCAAAGGGAACCTAAGGGGAAATTTTGATCAACTTGCACCTAGTTAAAAATTGATTAGGAACTTGCACAAAATTGTGTAAAGAATTAGTTAATTGAATTTGTTAGGAAGGCACACTTATGCAAAATTATATAAGAGGTTTAATTCTATTGAGAGAGTGAAAGTTAACCTAAGCTTAATTAAAAAGAATAAAAAAGGAATATAGCATCTCATAGCTCCTAGGACTTCACTTTTAAAATGTTTAAACACTCATTTTCATTTCACTAGTTAATTAAGTTTTTAATTAATTTTGTCCATTTAGTTTAATTAGTTAAAATCAATTAATTCTTGACTAGTTTAGTTCACTAGTTTAGCATTAATTAACATTAGTTAACCTTATTAGTAAAGAATTACCTAGGTTGCTATTAGTACTATATTAGTGTTAATTTAGTTATTTTGGAGTGTAAGCAACCATAACCTCCATCTTCGCGTGTAGCACAAAGAAGGACAAGCTGCGACACATTTGCACATGCTGCAATGCTTGCCTCTATCTTTCACTGCTTATTTACAACTACTTTTAGTTGCTTTGACTCCCAAAAGGGCATCCTATGCTTCTGTAATGAAATTTTACTTTTTGAGCTTACTAAATGATTATCTAAGTGTTTTCTAGATATGAAAACTGTAACACTTGCCCCGAGTGTTATCCAAAAATCACATAATTCAAATAAACTAAGTGTGGTTAAGGAATTAATCCTAAAACCAACTTAGGAAACAAACCATTTAAATCACTAAGCAAATACACAATTGCAAAGTAAATATTTAAAGCCTTTTAAAAAAAATTATAGGTTTTACCTATAGCACGTGGAAGCAAGCTAGACGAAAGTGAAATAAAAAGATGCTGTCATGACAGCATTAAATTTGCTGTCATGACAGCCCTCCTCCTGGGCCAACTTCCAGAAAGCACCGTTTCGTCATTCGACCTCCGATCGAAGTAATTTTAAAGCTCATATGTCAAATTCAAAGGGTACTATAAGTATACCAAATTTCAAAAAGATCCAACGGTCGGATTTAAAATTAGACATGTTAAAAATTTGATTATTTTTGCTGTCATGACAGCACTTCCGGACCAACTTTCGGAGTGCACCATTTCATCATCTGACCTCCGATCGGAGTGATTCCAAAGCCCACATGTCACTTTTAAAGAATACTATTAGCATACTAAATTTTGAAAAGATCCAACGGACGGATTGAATTTTGTACAGGTTACAAAATTAACACTGTAGCTGTCATGACAGCAATTTAATGCTGTCATGATAGCACCTCCAGACCAAATTCTGAAGTACGTCGTTTCTCCGTCCGATATCCGATCGATGTGATTCCAAAGCCCACACGAAGCTTATAAAAGGTTTTACTTGTGACCCAAATTTTAGAGAAATCCAACGGTCGGATTAAGATTTGGACACCCGGATGCAAAAGTGCAGCTTTTTGGTAAAAACCATTTTCAAAATTGTCCAAATCTCATCCTAATGGTCACAAATCTGTGGGAACACTTTGGACACATCAAATAAGACTAAAAACACCTGATAGAACATTCAAATGATGGAAAAACCCATATATCAAAATTTGACCACCCGGGTGCCATTTCCCAAAATGGACCATAAACCCCCAAAATGCACAAATCATACAAGAGTGGTCATAAATCAATCCAAATACCATGTATTTATATAAATACATATGCTAAACATTTTCACTTGGCTCAGAGCTCCTTGTGGGGCCCACACACCCACTCTCTCTATCCAAGCTGTATGTTTGCTCATAGCACACCATTTGCAATGCAACCACGTTGCATTTGCTTATAAAATCACATATATATCAAAATAAAGATCTGCTTGTAATAGAAACTTGGTCTACTAAGTAAATCCATCAAAACCACACACCATAACCAAGTTTCCTAGCCACAAGTCTGCAAACAGACAAAAATTCATACACAAGCACACAATCCACACATATTCACACACACACACATAATCATATCCTACTGGCACCCTAATCTTAAATACATTATAATATATTTGCTCAAAAGAAAGGGGTTGCAGTTCTTTACAAATCACAAGCAAACCCCTAGCTTTGCTCATTTCCCCGTCCACCACTGGATCCTTCGCCTGGACCTAGAATATTGAAAAGAAAGGGGTGAGACAACCACAGTCTCAGTAACAGTGAAATCTACATTGATTATTACAAAGTAAGCCATAATCAAATAAACGAATAATAAATTCAACATAGTATATAATTTAGCCATTTAAAATGCATGAATGCATGACCTAGACCGGTATGGCCTTTCATGACCAACAGAATGCCCCCTGGTACTCTTTAACTCGCAAGTAAACCTTATACCTACTTGTACCTCCACAGGCACAAAACATAATCTAAGGCATAATCTAATCCACCGAACCTCCTATGCCCCTTCGACGTGAATCCTAAGCAGTTAAAGCTAACTCCCTCCCAGAGCCAGCCCAACTTACTTTCCATGTGAGGGCTACCTTGGCCTAGGCACTCAACCTCACACTTCATATGTTAGATTCCCTCCCCCACTGAGAGGTGTCGAACACTCAATACACTAACCACTTTAGTGCACTGAGCCCACAATACGTAAGACAACACTAAGTACTGACAGTGTGCCATAGAATATCAAAAATCCATACCTTCTCATTGGTGAACTCCCACCGAGATCATGCCTTTTACTCTTGTCTACCTTTCCTGAG